TGGTTTTGGGTTTAGTGGCAGAGATAGGAAGCGGGGTGCATTTTTAATGAAAAGGGCAAAAACAACAAAGATAAGGATAGCTTGTTTCCCCAGAGCCTTTCTACAGGCATCTTCAGTGTCGGTTATTCCACTGGAGTTCCTCTTGAGAAGAAAGAAACAAATCACTCCATGAGGTGTGGACTGAACACAGATGGGACCCTCGCTCTGTGTGCGGGACCTGCTGGGTCAACTGTAGTTCCCTGTTCCTGCTGTCTCTCCTCTTCATCCCCACTTAAAGAGACCGTCCCTCAATAATCACCAACCTCAAGGCCTCAGGGAAGAAAAAAGCAGAGTATTCTCACAAAGAGGGTTTTTTATTACATTAATTGTATACTGCATCCCAGGGGTCTGTGTTAAGCTCAGGGCTTACCTAGAATCTGAGATGAGGTTAGAACTCATCTGTTTGAACCATCTTGTTTACAAATGAGGAAAGAGGGCACTAAAAGAAAAGCAGATTGCTCAAGGTCTCACAGCTCATTGCCGCTGTCACGTGGCGGCAGAGCCAAGGTTGTGACCTTGCCCTTGTGAAAGAATACCAATAACGAGTCATGTTGTAGAGCCCCTGGGTGGACACCAGGCCGTGGTCCTACAGAATTGCCCCTACCTTCACGTCTGGTAGGTGACGTGGTACTTTACCACAAGTTTGCTTCCTTCAGATTTTCCTTTGATCTGTCTGTAGACCCTTAGGGTTCATCTGAAGAATGAAATAATGAGGATCTTATCAGCAGGGCCACATCAATGCAAGAACCCTCCCCAGAATATTAGAACTAGGGGAAGGCTGCCAAGTGAACAGTTTGGCTCCTCTGCTTATGAGTCACAGAGCATATCAAAGTCACCAGAGAACTTAAAAGTTTCAGGAATCACTGAGCTCTACAAGAAATGCAAATCCCTTTCCAAAAGCTAACTAATCATTTTCCTATATGCTTAACAAGTCTTTACAAAGTGGAAAGTTGAAGGTGCTATATAGTGTAAGTCTGGATGATTTGGACAATCTGCGTAATTCAAGCTCAATGTGGTAATTAGAACAGGGACACCCAAGTTCCTTGTACAAACAGCAGTATCCCACATGTTAAATGAAGTATTTAACACTGCAAAGTCAGTCTCACAGTTTCCAGAATCATACCTGCAGCTTCTGTCATGAGTATGTTGGGTTTTTTGTCACAACTTCCAGGTACTGTGCTATTAGGCTCTTTAGAAACAGATCAAGTTGTTGTAGAAGATTAAAAAACTGTTAAGTCTGTTTGGTTTATTTTCATTGGTCCTACTGAAGTCACTTGTAGAAGCTGGGAATTCAAGCTTTCCTATAGTTATTAAAAAGCCACAATAGCCAACTTGAGAGAGAATTCTTGTTAAATTCATCAAATAGCTTCCTTAGATATTTAGGGATAAACTGTATCTTAAAAAGCTGGGTTCCTTGTCATTTGTGTCAAGAGAAATTCTGGTAAGTGTACAGAGGAACAACTTTTGTATTGGCAAGGTTTTGTTGAAGTAAATTTAAATTGGGTGAGAAAGCGTTCATATTCATGTCCCTGAAAGTCAGTGATACAGGAAGAAACACGTATTGGTGGACAAAACAAACAACCAAACCAATTGCCATCAAGTTTGTTTCCAACTCCTAGCAACCCTATAGGACAGACTAGAACTGCCCCGTAGGGTTTCCAGGGAGCGGCTGGTGGATTTGAACTGCTGACCTTTTGGTTAGCAGCCATAG